TTCTATGATAAAATTATCATAAAAATACGGAAAAGTTTTAAGTTTTGAATTCGGATCCTCGTGTTGTCAAGCTGATACTTTACAATACAAATCCTTTATTCCAGAATTTTGTGTAATTTTATTGTAATTAAGATTGTACTGTACTGTACATGTCTAATCAATCTTCCTTCAAATTTTTGGTTTAACGTGTCATATAAGATTATAGTCAGATAATTTTATTTATTTATTTATTTATTAACATCATATTTAAGCAAACTCAGAATATTTGTATAGTGGTATAGTTTGTCCACACCACTATACAAATAATCTGATCCATATTCAAATAATCACTATCCATAGAAAGTAGACAAAATTAAAATAAGAAACATAAACGATGCTTTATCAAATACTATATGAAAAAGTATATAAAATCTGTAAAATGTTAATGAAGATTAATTAAAGAACAATTATATTTTTTGATTTATTTCCACTCTGTAAGCACTAAGAGGGCTTTTTTCAAATCTATCATGGGTTCGAATAGCCACACAATGTGTTTGTGGGGACGGACAGTCGGGTGATGAGGGACGGAATCCTATATGTCCGGAACAGAGCACCTCCCGAAAAATTCATGAGGTTTCTCAACCGCCTGGATTCGATTCCGGATCCCCCAGAGCGGTAAGCGAATGCCTTAATCACCTTTGTCATCCAGCCTATAAAGTTATACTGCTTTGAAACGACAGTGGAAATGAAAGCACTACTACTACATTGATTTTATTTCTCTCCAATTATGAATATTGCATAGGCTTATATGTGCTTATTTCCTGAAACTTTCCAGTTATTCTGTTCATTAATAACTTACTTTATATATATTTATATAGATTTATTTTGTTAGATTATATCTAATTCATGTATCTATCGCAGAACTTTCTTGGATATAATGCACACAAGTCTAAGAATAAATAATTATAAATAATTCAATAAAAATATGAATATTAAAAAAATATAAAACTTTATTCATAAAATTTTAATATTGTGTTTTGAACAGCGAAAGAATAGCGTTTCAATAAATATAAACAGTTCACGAATCAATATTATTATTTTGAATTATAGAAAAAGTTTTATATTAAAATGTTTTTCAATAGTTATATCGGCCTTCTTATAATGCATAACCTTAAGTTATTAATATTTTAATAATTTAATATAAAACATTTTCTATAAATAATATAAGATAACTTCTGTTGTAACCTGTTTTACCTGATATTAAACTGAAGCTCAATTGTGTAAATAAAAATATTTTATGATATATAATAAAATATTAAAAATATTAATCTATATATGTTTGTTGAAGAAACTGGAGCAGAACTATTATACAAATAGAAAACTCATATATTCATAACGTTTTGAATTGTATAGCTTATACACAGCAGTATTACCTAAGTGCGTTTATGTATGTATTTATGCATGTGTATAATATGTATGTAATGTACTGTACGTATATATAGGAGTAGGATTATTCAAGAGTCGAGAGGGTCATATTCAGATGTCCGATTTATGATGATGTTTAAATATGCCATATATATCTATACTTAGGCCTATAAATGAGAATGTTTGTTTGTTTGTTCGCTATATACTGCTTGGCCGTTCGACCAATTGTTACGAAACTCGACAGTTACGTTAACATACCCCTAACTTAAATAATGTCGTAAAATCTGAAATATTGATTGGATTTCTATTATTAATCCTAACATATTTAAACAATATTATAGCTTTATCTGAAACAATTGCAACAATTCGGAATATTGTCAGAAAATTTTTTAGTAATACTGTGCACTGTAATCTATATCTATAAATGAGGATGTTTGTTTGTTTATTATATGCCCTATATTATTACTTTGATGAGTAGCACATAGCACGCACCTCTGTGTAGTCGAAATTGCTGCACGGGTCATAGGTTTGCACATAGCCAGCGGGCTGGCCACATAGTTTCTCGAGTATTCTTCACGTTAGTAACATCAAAATATGGACCAGTTTCCCCATAAAACTCCTTTCGGGAGGCATCCCCCTCAGCAGATCGCCACATGTCGTGTTGCCGTAACCAAATAAACCAAAATAATTGCAATAATTTATGTATAAACTTGCTATTTACGAGGACATACCTCCACGTAGTTATTGGGCATTCTAATAATTATCTTTAAATGGGTTTTACCACTTACATTTTTTAAATTTACGATTAATAACGCCGGGTGTAACAATTACTTCGAAAGGTACAGTACTTTATAAACCCGAGCGAAGCCGGGCGTAACAGATAGTATAGCTAGTATATATACATATCATATACAGTGTAAACTCGATTATCCAAACTTAATGGGACCAAGACTCTTCCTGATGAACCAAATTTCGGATAATCCAGAAAACCCGTGTTTGTTTCGAGTACAGTACAGTACTGTGCATTCAAAGTTTCATAAACTACAAATATTGTGATGAAATTACAGTATTTAAAAATAAACTAATTTACTCAAAAGCTAACATAATTCCATGTATATGTGACCTACTTTCACGGCGCTTCAATCGACAGATAACGTAATAATTTCCAGTTAACGTGAAAAGTTTGTCTCTTTGTATTATACTTTATGTTATGTACTGTACTGTACAATGCTACACGTTCTAGCTTTTTTTTTTTAACCGTTTCGGATAACGGATTTTCTACTATATATTGATTAAGATTAAAATATTTTATATTTTAATGGGCTATAAGCACTCATTTACCGTAAGTTTAACTGTAAAGTAAATATGTAGTACAGTACATTAATAACGTTGCGAAATAATATCTTAGTACTGTATTGATTTACATATACTTATATATACAGTGAAACCTGCTAATGTGACAACTAAACGGAAGTGGTCATCTTACACAGGTGGCCACCTTATGCAGGTGGTCACATTAGCAAGTTTCATTGTACTTCTTTGACATGAAAATATAAATATTTAAAGAATTTCAAGCGCAACAATTATTGAAATAAATAACTAGTGTTGCGTACGGTACATAATTAAATTTTTACGATTGAAAATGTAAATTATACCTTTATTTTCCTGATAGTTATAGAATATTCATTAAGAAATATGTTATATGAGTATTTCCAGCTTATATGAATTATGTAGGCTATATATTATGAAATTTACATATTATATTAGAGCGAAATTAATAGGATTAAATAGCCAAATTAACTAGAACTACAAGTAAATATTTAGAGCCATTTGGCTAAATTATTGTTATATTAATGTAACTAGGAAGGTCATTAATTTTTTCAATCATTAAATATTAAAGTAATATTATATAATAATACAATAAGTAATATTTATTAATATTTAAATCAATTTTTAATTTATAATTAACAAAATGGTTGCATATTACACTGATTTAATTGCATTAATAGTAAATACTGACTGGAGTTGAGTGGTTTTTATGTATAGAAACTAATAATTAATTCATTAATCGTGTTCAAGAGCATGCTGTTCAGCAATAAGAGCTTCTTTAATTTATTTAATGACATTTCATTATTGAACTGCAATTTGAAAAAATGTAGACCTATAAATTCCCACTGTCGTCCGTCCATCCGCCCGTCCGTCTGTCTATCCTTAATCTCAAGAACGAAGTTAGATAGATGAAAGCTAAGTCCAAATATAGACAGACACCTTAGAGGCAGAAAACCCGATTAACTATATATAAACTTTCGCTGAAAACCAGAAGTTACATTATTTCAATTGAAAATTTTTTCCCTAAAAGGTGTTCGATAGATAACCGGCACGACTCTATTGTTAAAGGAAAAGTATGATGTACAGGGGCAAGCCACTAGTAATTTGAGGTGGAGAGCATATATTTTAAATTAAATAAATTAAAAATATAATTAAAAATTGCAGCCTGGCATTGTGACGATGTCACAATGAATAATTGCTCGTTAATAACTCAAAAATATTGATTTTTTTAAAATTATAACGATATCAAGACGTTATTTACTTAAGCTACAGTATTTTGAACTTGATAATCAAAGCACATGGGCAAAAAACTCGTACGCTATTTTCAATCACTTCGAAGATAGTTCTATTTCTGTAAATTTCGTTGAAGTTCACATGGGACTTCTAGAAAATGTACTTTTTAAGACAGGATTTCAAATGCTTCTATCGCTTTTATAACTGAAAAAAGTCGGCTTCTTTTAAGAATTTTGTTGAAATACTTCACCGTTCTTCCAATTTCATATAGTTCTACTTCATATAACAACAATTTAATATTACTAAAGTTTTCTTATGTAAGAAAATTATAAATGCATAGTAAATATAACCCTATACGTATATATATATTTATTATATATATATATATATGTTGTGGATATTTTTAGAAGTAAATTATTATATATATATGTTGTGGATATTTTTAGAAGTAAAATGGAAAGAGGAAAAACTAACTTGCACTACGAATTTGTATTCTCAAATTGCAAATATCCGAATGACATAAATAAAGATATCGAATGTCAAAAGCTTTAGGCAAATACTTTTCTAAAACCAAACATTTTTAATGTTTAGAAGGGAATTACTACAAATTTAATTAAAACACCCAAGTCATACCACAATGAATAATTATGGATAATTTGATAGAATTCAAATAAGTTTTATTAAACAGCATCGATTTGTTTTTCACTTTAGAAAAAGTATGTAACAAAGAATAAAATCAAGAAGTTATTTGACCTTTGTAAATTGAACCTTCTAATCAATAAAATAGCATTTTTAGAGAATTGTAAATTTGTAAATCTACCCCATTAAATTTCATCTCTAGAAAGCATTTAAAAAAAGGGCACAATTTTACATTTTCTCCTCATATTCTTGCACTTGCATGTTCAGCAAAAAACGTCTTACAACTCGTGTTTCCTCAAATTCCAGTATAGAAATAACTTAGTTATCCTATTTCAAATATGGTATATTGTTACACCTAGCACATTTTTGCTAAAATAGCTAGAAAATCGAGTGGGATGTATTTTATTCTACTCGTTACGATTATTCGAAAAGCAAAAGTTCAACTTTCCTTTACAAGATTATTTTTTCCTGTGAGTAAGAATTTTCTAAGACATGATTTATGTAAGTTTGACAGTTAAATTTAAAAAAATATATATATAAATCGATTTTTACATGTTTTGTATACTCAAATTATATCCTTAATAATATAATTAATATATCAATATTTTTCTTACTAATTACAATTAAATGACTTTATATTTAATTTTTAATCAAGTTAATTGTTATTATAGAGTATATATACAGTAATTTATTTTATTTAAACCAATAACTGCTGTTGTTAGACGAAAAATATTGTCAATAATTATCATTAAAAATGATAAACAACTGATTTTTTTAAATTAAAAATAATAACAATCGATAATGATTCTTCTAAAAATGATAAACAACTGATTTTTTTAAATTAAAAATAATAACAATTCTTCTGAAAAGTTTTCGTTTTTCTAAAAAATTAAATTTATTGTAATTTTTTTTATTTTTTCTTTTATCAAGTGCCTGAGATAGAACCAGAATTCTCTCAAGAAATACCAAATGTTACTGTAGCTGTAGGTAGAGATGCTAAACTTCCTTGCCACGTCGATAATCTAGGTACCTACAGGGTAAGTACAATGTCCGGAAATGTCATTGTATTGCTCTACCTTAGCTAATTGCTATCGAACAAATTTTGCTAAAGTTCAGCTAAATTGATTATCGAGTTTCAAAAAGATGGAAAACATAAACTCAATTTAAAAATTTTCTACTGCACACACACAAAAAAAAATGTTTTAATTAAAATTTTTAAAATTACCCTAAACGACCCGGAATGAATTCTATTGTTCTCGAAACAATTCCACTTTTTTTTAATTCTTAAATAAAATTAAATAAAATAAATTAATAATTACATTGAAAATAATATCGTATTTATATAAAATTAAGATTTGAAGTCGAATAATTAAATTGGATTTTAGGTAATTTTTTTAAATATAAAGTATGAAAAAAAGTTTTAATTATAATTTAATTATAATAATATAATTAGTATGCAGTAAAGTTTCGATTATCCGGTTTACGATTATCCAGCTTTCCGAATTATAAAGGATTTTAATTTATTTTATGATAGACACTTTTAAAAAGTACTTTTGATTTAACTCGTCCAGTTAAGAACTGCGTGCAAGCATCCAGGATGTTCATCCTTCTCTAAACAGAGATTTGTTTCCATGAAATCGCATGTTCATCATATACGTTCCCGTACGGTTGATTATAACTGAATGGAGATTTTTATAAGTTTTTTTTATATTTTATTATTGATCGTATATAACAATATATTTTTAAATACAGCTCACAAATTAAACACGATTATGCTTTACCCACCAGCTCGAGTTTAGGCTGGATAACCGAGATTTCATTGTGTATAAACAGTTCATAAATTAATAAGAACAATATTGCAAAATTTAGCAATTTATTTTTCTGTTAATTTCGTAAAAAATATATTAAAATTGTTAAATAGAAGTAAAGAATAATCATACTGAATTTCGCTTACAATTATTACAATTAAAATATAATTTTAACACCGTCCTTTACTTACCGTTTGATTATTTGCCCTATAAATTCCTTACTAATGCTATAAATTTTAATTATCTTCAGTAGGAATTGTATGATTTAGTAGAAAGCTTTGATATTTATAACGATCTTCCGATAGCAGTTCTTCTAATTTTACATAATAGATCTAACTTTATGATACCTTTATATTATGTATAGTGTTAATATCATTATATTATGAATAATGCATTAGCATCGTAAAGTGTGCAACAGACTATTAAGCCATAATATCATAATTTTCTAAATAGTATTAATTCTTATATTAGTAATATAATAGCATCAAAACTCTGACGATCGTTTCAAATTTTAAGTTTATTGAGTTTGTGCTATTATATTAGTAATATAATTTATTCTTATTGCTTTCCATTATTAAGGTTTAAGTCAGAACATTATCAGAATCTTTATTGAGTTGAAAATATTTATATAGACAGTATTATACCTTTAACATTGCTGAAATTTTGATTCTTCAAAGTAATTCTAATCGATAATGCTATAAAAGTATCATTAAAATAGCAAAGAAACTTATATGCACAGTAAAACCTGTCTAAAACGGAAGCTGAATAAAGCAAAAACCTGTCGAAACGGAAAAATATCTTCAAAACGGAGCGATTTAGAAAACCTGTTTATTTTCGGCTCCTTTTTACGCAGGTTTTACTGTATAAATTAAATTAAATTTATTTTTAATTTAAATTATATTACGTTAAAAATAATTTACATGATAAAATGAATAATAAATTTAGCATGTAACACTACACTAACTATTAAAATAATTTATTAATTTAATTTGTATAAGTTATTTAAAGAACTTTTAACTTATTAACGAAACAAAATTAGAATTAAAATTTTTATTTTAAACTATATCCTGTTATAAATAGTATTTTCAGCAAAAAACCTTTTTTTTTATTTAGACAGAAGTTTTTAAATTTAATATTAGAAAAAATAAATAAATAAAAATTTTTACGATTGTTATGTTCATATGGAGTAGAAACATTGAGAGTCGAGATTGTTTTATTTGAATATTTTCTACGAAGAATTTATATTGTTTTTTACAACGATGACATTAAAAATATGAATCGGGATCCTTTTCTCTTATAAAAATTTTAATGAAATTTTTAAATTTCGTATTCCGCATAAAGACAATCATATTTTTTTTATTACTTAGATTAAATTATGGCCGACTTTCAAACAGGATTGAAAATAAAAACCTTGAAATTCAACATTTATATCTAAAAGAAATATAGAAAACCTTCCAAATAATATATATAGACCCCATATATATGAATTATTTTGGGAATTTTTATAAGAAATGCTACCCTAGCAACATCATTTGGCATTAAATAAGAGTACCATACATGTGAGACGTATAAATCTTTTAAAATCCAGAATAAAAATATCTTTGCTTTAATAAACTTTTAACATTTAGAAACTTTTATAATTGATATTTTATTTTTCATCAGTGTATTATTTTGTAAGAATCTAATAGCTTAATTCTTATAATTAATAAACTTCATAGCAAAATTAACCATTATAAACTGAGAAAATCGATATAAATTTGTTTAAAACTATAGTAGCATTATATTTTAATAAATTAAATTTTAATTTTAAAACTTGTACACACAATCATTATGAATAGCTCTACAGATTCGCAAGAGAATGGTTTCCTTTAAGATTAAAACAAAATGTTACTATTATACTATTGTAAATAATTAATTATAATGGTAAATATACTGTTTAAATAAAAGGTTAAATATAGTTTTATAATTATTTTTAATCTATTCAATGTGAATGTTATGTATAATACGTTAATACTAAAATACAGAAAGGGACAGTAATGGTTTCGTAGTAGAGGTAGTAAAGTGGATAAAAAGTTTGTGAGGGAGTGTACGTCTGTTGGACTGTTTGATTTGTTTCTAGTATGGAGAGAATATATGTGGACGCAACAAATCATATAAGAATGACTACATCAAGACAGCAGCATTTGCCTGCGAATATTTGTTTTCGGAACAATACTTGTGTTGCTGTACCATCCATCTATTTCAAAACTCTTCTCTGTTCCAGCTGATGTCATTGACATTTAGAGTGTCGGAATTCTCTAAAGATTTACGACATCTCTTCTGGTCAATGCCTTATTTTTTTCCCCTTTCTTTGTGCCATTGAATTTTTCGTTCTGTTGCTAAAACGTTTCTGCTTCTTACGAGTTGCTCCTTTTGTCGTCTTTTTTTCTTACCTACGGGGTTCGAATCGATTACCCCAGTCACTTATCTTCTATATAAATGGCATTTATACCTTTAATATCCTGTTATTTACGTTTTCGGTCAGATTATGTCATCAACAATCGAAAAATAATAGTTAATTAAAAGATTTCTATAATTTATTTCTTTGTTATTACTCTCTTGCAACTTTTTCTTTGGGTTAATAATCTAATTAAATTTACTTTTATGCGAATTTATGCATAATTTGTCACTTATTTACTTGAAAAATAACTGTGTCGTAAAGAAAAATACTGTTTTTTTCGGATTTTAATCGTTATATTTTATTACTCTGTAGATAATAGATAAATTTTGACACTTTTATTGCTAATGTTCCAAACATATCTTCTATAGTTCTATCGAAAAAGGAGACAATAAATTCCTCTCTCAACTTTATATCAACAGGATTGCTTTTCAAATAATTACGACAAATTTTTTCTGCAGCTAACCAATAGCGAAATTTCTTAAGAAAAATTACATACAATAGTTAATATTAACATAATTGAAATAAAATTTACTATTGGCTAAACATTTTTAAATTTCGAAGGCCTATTCGCTATTTATAATCACGTGTCTACGGAAATTGAATTTGCATAATCTGATTGGCTCGTCGTAATCATGTGACGAATTTTTAACGATTCAAACGAGTAAATTTAATTAAACGTTTTTACAGAATTTCGCATAAATTATAAACGAAGTAAAATTCTATTGTTTAACAAAATTAATTAAATACAAGTCGAAATTATTTAAATTTTCAAATATATAAGATTATGGAAAGGTAACAAATGGGTTTCATATTCAAAAATCGAATAACAAAGCGATTAGATGCTAATAATAGTGACAAGAAGAACGATAAAAATTTGAATTTGAAACTTCGGCTTATAGATTAGATGGGGGAGAAAATTACGTGACACGTTGAGTTCGTTTAAAATTTACAAACTTCAATTCATTAGGACCACCACGTGACAGGTGCAAATCGTATTTTTAAAATTTGAAGATCGATGCAATATTTTCCTGTCCAGCAAGGACACCATTAACATCAAATATCATTCATTTTGCACGTTTGGTGCTTAAAATATCGAACGACGAAGCCGTAAACCTGAACGTTGAACCTTGTTACGTATAGAGTAACGTGTTTGCTTTCTTATAAATACGTAAACACGTGTGACAACGTTAACATGAATAAAACAGTACGAATATAAGGGCACAAGCCACCAATCCAGCAATGATAAATGAGTGCTAATTATTTATAAATAGAATAATGCATGTGTGTAAGATGTAAACACGAATAAATGACGTAAATCGAGGTTCAAATAATATGTAAGCACTCAAAGGAATATAATCATTTATGTATTTTATAAAATATTCATTTCTTAAAAATGCATTTTTAATTACAATATTTCGGTTGTTTTCGTAGAAAAATAAACAGTAAAATGATTGATTATGAGAGGAAAGATGCATTTTTCAATGAATAAATCTCAGTTTGGATGGTTATTATATAAGTAGGATAAATGGGTCGATTAGTGAACACACACAGATATTTAAAGGGGAGAATGGACGAATCCTGAATAGATCTCGATAAATGCTTTCCTTCTACATCATTAAATAACTATTTTTTAAGGAAAATATTAAATGTAATATATATATATATATATATATAAGTTAGATGAAAGATATAATTAATTAAATAAAGTATTCATAAATTTTCCTTTTTATTATTAAAATAAATAGGGGAAAAACGTAATTTTAATGCAAAAACTCTGTAAAAATTATTA